GCACTGGGACGAGCCCCCGGCCCCACGCGCCAGCGCGGGGGGAAAGCCCGGAGCCTGGGGGTCCCCAGAGCCCCCCCGGCTCTATCCCGGCTTTATCCCGGTTTATCCCGGCGGCGGGAGCCGCCCACGGGCCGGGAGGGGCCCCGGGACTCGCCCGACAGGTCCGGCGGTGGCCCCGGGGCTCGGGCAGGGCGTGGGAAGGGCCCCACGCGTGTCCGGGCACACGGAGCGCCGCGGGGACAACGGGGACAGTAAACGGGGACACCCCCGGGGGGGCCAGCTGTGTACCGGGGAACCGCGGGGGAACGACCCCGCTCGTACCGTGGGGTGGCCATGGGGTGGCCTTGGGGTGTCCCCAGGGCCGTGGGGTGGCCTTGGGGTGTCCCCAGGGTGGCCTTGGGGTGTCACCAGGGCCATGGGGTGGCCTTGGGGTGTCACCAGAGCCTTGGGGTGGCCTTGGGGCCACGGGGTAGCCTTGGGGTGTCACCAGGGCCTTGGGGTGTCACCAGGGCCGTGGGGTGGCCTTGGGGTGTCACCAGGGTGGCCTTGGGGTGTCACCAGGGCCGTGGGATGGCCTTGGGGTGTCACCAGGGTGGCCATGGGGTGTCCCCAAGGCCATGGCGTGGCCTTGGGGTGTCACCAGGGTGGCCATAGGGTGGCCTTGGGGCCACGGGGTGGCCTCGGGGTGTCCACGAGGCCGTGGGGTGTCCACAGGATGTCCACGGGATGTCCGTGCAGCCGTGGGGTGGCCATGGGGTGTCCCCAGGGTGGCCTTGGGGCCATGGGGTGGCCACAAGGCTGTGGGGTGTCCATGGAGTATCCACAGGGTGGTCTTGAGGCCGTGGGGGTCCGTGGGACGTCTGTGAAGCCATGGAACATCCATGGGGTGGCCTTGGGGCCATAAGGTGGCCTCGGGGTGTCACCAGGGTGTCACCGGGGTGGCCTTGGGGTGTCCACAGAGTGCCCTTGGGCTGACCACGAGGCCGTGGGGTATCCACAGGGTGGTCTTGAGGCCATGGGGTGTCCACGGGATGTCTGTGGGACATCCATGAAGCCACGGGGTGTCCCCAGGGCGGCCCTGGGGCCATGGGGTGGCCTTGGGGTGTCCCCAGGGTGGCCTTGGGGTGTCCACAGAGTGCCCTTGGGCTGACCACGAGGCCGTGGGGTATCCACAGGGTGGTCTTGAGGCCGTGGGGGTCCGTGGGACGTCTGTGAAGCCATGGAACATCCATGGGGTGACCTTGGGGCCATGAGGTGGCCTTGGGGTGTCCCCAGGGTGTCACCGGGGTGGCCTTGGGGTGTCCACGAGGCCGTGGGGTGTCCATGGAGTATCCACAGGGTGGCCCTGGGGCCATGGGGTGGCCTTGGGGTGTCCCCAGGACGTCCACGGGGTGTCCACGGGGTGTCCCCCGACCACCCACCGGACCCCCTTGAGCACAAACCCCCCTCGCCACCCGCGCGTCGCCCCCAGACCCTCAGACGGACGTGGTGCACTCGCGGGTCAGCGGCGCCGTGGGCAGCTCGGCCGCGGCGCCGGCCGGGCCCCTGTCCAGCGAGCTGGACGTGCGCAGCGGGACCCCCGCCCGGCCGGGGGGCTGCGGGCGGCGGCCGCGGCCGCAGCAGCAGAGCACACGCAGGAACTCGCCGCGCATGTCCTTGCTGCGCAGCATGTAGATCACCGGGTTGGCCGCCGAGTTCAGCGTGGCGAAGGCGAAGAAGTAATTGGCGCTGTAGAGCACCCGGCAGGCGCGCACGGGGCACGAGGCGTCCATCAGGAGGATGATGAAGGCGGGCAGCCAGCAGACGATGAAGGCGCCCAGCACGATGGTGACGGTCTTGAGCAAGGCCAGCGTCTGCGCCGAGGCGATCTCGGCGTGGCTGGAGCGCACGATGCAGTAGATGCGCGTGTAGAGCCCCACGATGGCCGTGAGGATGAGCGTGAAGATGGTGGTGACGAAGAGCACGTAGCGCTTGGAGTAGAGCGGCAGCACGGTTGAGCAGTCGCCCAGGTCGCTGATGCAGTTCCAGCCCATGATGGGCAGGCTGCCGATGGCGCCGGCGATCACCCAGCAGGCGCCGATCAGCAGCACCATGCGGCAGTTCTTGTCGCTGCTGTACACCTTCACCTTGGTGATGGCCACGTGCCGCTCGATGGCGATGGCCAGCAGGCTGAACACCGAGGCCGCCAGCGTGGCGAAGGCCGTGCCCTCGCGCACGAACCACTGCACGGGCGTCAGGCTGAAGGTGGTGCTGCCCGACAGCAGCGTGTTCGCCATGAAGGCCGCGCCCGCCAGCAGGTCCGAGGCGGCCAGGTTGCCGATGAAGATGTACATGGCCAGGTGCAGGCGCTTGTTGCGGCAGATGGACACCAGCACCAGCAGGTTCTCCAGGACGATGACGCAGCACAGGACGACGATGAGGACGGAGCCCACCCAGCGCGAGGGCGCCGCGCTCTCGCCGTCGCCCTTGGTGAAGTTGTAGTGCTCGCGGATTTTGTCGCGGTTGAAGTATTCCTTGTAGATGCTCCCCATGGTGGTGACGGGGGACGGTGACGACGACGAGGCTCAGCGCCGCCGGGACATGGCTCCTGGGGACGGCAAGGTCACCCCGTTGTCACCTTTGTGCCACCAGGGATACCCTGGGGTGACCCAGGCCTCAGTGCCACATGTACATGGCTCCTGGGGACAGCAATGTCACCCCGTTGTCACCTCTGTGCCACCAGGGACACCCTGGGGTGACAGCTGGTGTCACACCCCGTTTGTCACCTCTGTGCCACCAGGGAAACCCTGGGGTGACCCAGGCCTCAGTGCCACAGGGACATGGCTCCTGGGGACAGCAAGGTCACTCCGTTGTCACCTCTGTGCCACCAGGGATACCCTGGGGTGACCCAGGCCTCAGTGCCACAGGGACATGGCTCCTGGGGACAGCAAGGTCACTCCGTTGTCACCTCTGTGCCACCAGGGATACCCTGGGGTGACCCAGGCCTCAGTGCCACAGGGACATGGCTCCTGGGGACAGCAAGGTCACTCCGTTGTCACCTCTGTGCCACCAGGGACCCCCTGGGGTGCCCCGAGCCTCAGTGCCACGGGGACATGGCTCCTGGGGACAGCAAGGTCACCCCGTTGTCACCTCTGTGCCACCAGGGACACCCTGGGGTGCCCCGAGCCTCAGTGCCACAGGGACATGGCTGTTGGGGACGGCAAGGTCACCCCGTTGTCACCTTTGTGCCACCAAGGAGACCCTGGGGTGACAGCTGGTGTCACACCCTGTTGTCACCTCTGTGCCACCAGGGATACCCTGGGGTGACCCAGGCCTCAGTGCCACAGGAACATGGCTCGTGCCACCAGGGACACCCCGGGGTGACACCCCCTTTGTCACACCATGGACACCCCGGGGTGTCACCCAGGGCCAGTCCTGTCCCCTCAGGTCGTGCTGACAGCCACCCCCAGCCCTGTCCCGTGGCTGGTGACACCCATTGTCACCTTTAGACACCTCAGGTGACACCTGCTGTCACCTGTGTCCTTCCGCAGGGGCGTCACCCACGGCCCAGTGGCGGTGAAAGAACGGGGGGGCACATCTGGGCGCACATCTGGGGGAAATCGAGGCGGGGGTGGCGCCTGAGGTGACACCGGGAGGCAGGAGGTGACACCGGGCGGCAGGAGGTGACACCGGGAGGCAGGAGGTGACACCGGGCGGCAGGAGGTGACACCGGGAGGCAGGAGGTGACAGACCGTGGGGAATGGGGCGGGGCACCCTGGGGGGCTGGAGGAGCGAGGCGTGGGGACATCGGGGAATGTCACCGCTGGCTCCCTGTCCCCCCCGTCCTGTGTCCCCTCTCCCCAAATTTCGGGACGGGACCCCCGGTAAGGGCTCCCCCCCGCCCCGTTCCTCCCGGCGCGGGACCCCCGAGGGCTCCGCACGGGACCGAGGGCCGGGGCGGGTGGCGGGGGAGGGAGCCCCGGCGGCCGCGGCACCGTCCCGGAGCCCCCCCAGGTCCCGGAGCCGTCCCGGAACCGGTGTCGGTCCCGTCCCGGAGCCCTCCCGTCCCGGTGCAGTCCCGGAGCCTCCCCGGTCCCGTCCCGGAGCGGTCCCGGTACCAGAGCTCCCCCGGTGCCGTCCCGGTGCCGTCCCGGAGCGGTCCCGGTCCCAGAGCTCCCCCGGTGCCGCCGCGGAGCGGTCCCGGAGCTCCCCCGGTGCCGTCCCGGTGCCGTCCCGGTCCCAGATCTCCCCCGGTGCCGCCAGCCCCCCGCGACCGGACACGCACGTGGGGGGACACGGGGACACGGCGGGACGCCCCCCCGGCCGGCCACTGTCACCGTGGGGATTCTGGGGACCCTCAAAGGTTTGGGGACCCCCCCCGGAGGTGCCCCCCAAGGACACGACCCACGACCCCCGCCAGCTGCCAGCCAGATGTTGGCGTGGCCGAAACAGCCACGGGGACAACGAGGGGGGGACATCGAGGGGGGACCCCCAGCCGTGGGGGTGGCGCTTGGCCCCCCCGGGGACCCCCCAATGTGCCCCCCCCAGCCGTGGGGACACCCCCGAGCCGCCCCCCACAGCCCGGGACCCCTCCCGATGTCCCCCCTCCACGCGGAATTCCCGCCCCCGGACCCCCGGGATCGGGCGGGGCTTGGGAAAAAATGGGGGGGAAAGGGGGAAAAAAGGGGGAAAAAGTATTCCCGAATTCTCCCAGCAATCCCGACCCCGGGAATTTGGGGGAGACCCCCGGGGGGGAAACGGGAACTGGGAATGGGAACGGGACTGGGAATGGGAACTGGGAATGGGAACTGGGAATGGGAACTGGGAATGGGAACTGGGAATGGGAACTGGGAATGGGAACAGGGGTGCTGGGATGGGACATTGGTCCTGGGGAGGGCCAGGGACACGGGAAATGTCACTGGGAAGGGACACTGGGCAGGGACAATCGGCTGGGGGGTCACTGGGGAGGGGGCACTGGGGGTGACACTGGGGTGGGGTCAGCAGGCTGTCCCCGCCCCTCGCCTTCCCGCCATGATCCGCGCGGGGGCGGCCGCCCTGAGGGCCTGGAGCCGGGGCCGGGGCTGGGCCGCGGTGAGAGCGGGGCCGGGAGCGGGGCCGGGAGCGGGGCTGGGAGCAGGGGAGAGCGGGCCGGGAGCGGGGCTGGGCCGGGGGAGAACGGGCGGGGAGCGGGGCCGGGAGCGGGATGGGAACGGGGCGAACCGGGCGGGGCAGGGCCGTGAGGGCGGCGAGTGGGCGGGGCCAGGGCGGTGGATGGGCGGGGCAGTACAGCCCCCGGTCATTGTCCCCAATGTCGCTGTCCCGCAGTTCACGACGGCGCCCCCGGCCCCGCCCGCAGCCCCCGAGCCCCGCAAGGGTGAGTGAGGGGCTGGGGACACCCTGGGGACAGTGCCAGGGGCTGGGGACACCCTGGGGACAGCGGGGTTGGGGTGGCCGTGGGGCTGGGGACAGCAGGCACCATCGTGGGGACATGGTGGACAGTGCCACCACCACGGGGTCGGGGACATCAGACCTGGCTGTTTGCTCCTTGGGGGATGCCAGGACCCCGCCGCCCCGTGAGGGTCCCCATCCCCACTGTCCCCTTGTCCCCAGAGGAGCCCCCGGTGCTGCGGAGCTGCCGTGTCCCCGTGCTGTCCCCGCTGTCCCCGGTGCAGGCCTGGGTGGAGTCCCTGCGGCACCCCGAGGACACGCTGCGGGGCCTGGCCGACCTGCACCCCGACGTCTTCGCCGTCAGCCCCAGGTGGGGGTCCCGGGGGGGGGGCTCTGGGGACGCTGGGGACACCCCCGGGGGGCTCTGGCTGAGTGTCCCCCCCCCACCCGCGTCCCCCTGTCCCCAGGCTGGACATCCTGCACACGGTGGCCACGTGGCTCCCAAAAGCTTCCTGGGGGGTCCCAGGAAGGCTCCAAAGATCCTTGGGGGCTCTCAGAAGTCCCTGGGTGCCCCGAGGAGCTGCGGGGGCTCCCCAAACCCACCCCAGGGGGGCTGGGTGGGGGGCTCAGGGGTCACAGTGTCCCCCCGTCTGTCCCCCTGTCCCCAGAGCCACGCGCGCGTGCGCAGCCCCACCGAGGGGCAGGGTGGGGGGAGCTGGGTGGGGGTCTCAGGGGTCTCAGGGGTCACAGTGTCCCCCCTTGTCCCCAGAGCCACGCGCGCGTGCGCAGCCGGGCCGAGGGGCAGGGTGGGGGGCTGTGTGGGGGTCTCAGGGGTGACAGTGTCCCCTCCTCTGTCCCCCCTGTCCCCAGAGCCACGCGCGCGTGCGCAGCCGGGCCGAGGGGCGCGGCGGGGGCCGCAAGCCCTGGCGGCAGAAGGGCTCGGGGCGCGCCCGGCACGGCTCCACACGGTCACCGCTCTGGAGGGGCGGTGAGTGACACCGGCACGGGCTGGGGACACGGGGACAGCCTGGGGACAGTCTGGGGATGGGATGGGGATGGGGACAGCCTGGGGACAGGGACATGGGGCTGGGGAGGGGCTGGGAATGGGGACACAGGGCTGGGGACAGCCTGGGGATGGGGACACACGGGGATGGGGACAACCTGGGGACCGGTTGGGGAGGGGGACACAGGGCTGGGGACACACAGGGAGCAGGGACATGGACACACAGGGATGGGGACAGCCTGGGGACAGGGACGTGGGGCTGGGGACAGCCTGGGGAGGGGCTGGGGACACACAGGGACAGGCTGGGGACAGCCTGGGAGCAGGGACAGGGACACACAGGGATGGGGACAGCTTGGGGACAGGGACATGGGGCTGGGAATGGGGACATGGGGTTGGGGACGGGGACACGGGGATGGGGACAGCCTGTGGACGTCCTGGGGATATCCTGGACTGCCCTGGAGACATCAGCGTTTGGTGCCCCTGCTTTGGGGTGTCTGGAACACCCTGGGGACACCCAGGACCATCGTGGGGACATCCTGGGGATATCAGCAACCACTCTGGGGACACCAGGCCTGGCTGCTCCCCTCGCTGTGGGCCGGGGGGGGTTGTCCCCTGCCCGGGGATGTCACCGTGTCCCCTCCTGGCAGGTGGCATCGCCCACGGCCCGCGGGGCCCCACCAGCTACTTCTACATGCTGCCCATGCGGGTGCGGGTGCTGGGGCTGAAGGTGGCCCTGAGCGTGAAGCTGATGCAGGTACGGGGGTGGCCGGGGGGCCGGGGGCCGGCCGGGGCTGGGGACAGCGTGGCAGTGTCCCCGGTGTCACGCAGGACGAGCTGCACGTGGTGGACAGCCTGGAGCTGCCCAGCAGCGACCCCCGGTACCTGCTGGAGCTGGCCCGGGCCCGGCGCTGGGGACACTCGGTGCTGCTGGTGGACACGTGAGGGGACACTGGGAATGGGGCTGGGGACAGGGCTGGGGACACTGGGAAGGGGGCTGGGGACACTGGGAATGGGGCTGGGGACACTGGGTGGGGACATGGGACAGGGCTGGGGATACTCGGTGCTGCTGGTGGACACGTGAGAGGGGACACTGGGGACACTGGGAACGGGGCTGGGGACACGGGACAGGGCTGGGGACACTGGGGATGGGGCTGCGGACACTGGGGATGGGGCTGGGGACACTGGGGCAGGACTGGGGACGCTGGGAATGGGTTGTCCATGAAGCTGGGGACACCCTGGGGACATTGTGGACAGATCACCACAAGCCTGGGGACGCCAGGCTTGGGCGTCCCCACTGTGGGGACACCCTGGGGACACTTTGGGGACACCCTGGGGACACTTTGGGGACACCCCACCCCTTTTCCCCCAGCGATGAATTCCCGGAGAACATCAGCGCCGCGGCCGAGGGGCTCAAATCCATCACCCTCATCCCCGCCCTGGGTGAGCCCCTCCCCTCTTTCTGACCCCCCCAAGGCGCTCTGGGACGCCCCGCTGACGTCCCCAAACTGTCCCCAAACTGTCCCCAGGGCTGAACGTGCACAGCCTGCTGAAGCACCAGACGCTGGTGCTGACCCTGGGCGCCGTCGCCTTCCTGGAGCAGCGGCTGCTGTGGCACGACTCGCGCTACTCGCCCCTGGTGCCCTTCTCCCTGCCCCACCGGGACCCCCCCGGGGCCGCCTGAGACCCCCGGGCGGCGTCTGTCCCCCCCCCGGGAGGCGTCTGTCCCCCCCCGGGTGGCATTTGTCCCCACCGTGGGGCAGGATCCCGTCGGGAAAGGATTTGGGGACACGGTGGCACAGCGAGGTTTTGTCCTCTGTCCGTGTCCTGAAAGGATTTCCTGGAGCCCCCCCCGGGTGGGATTTGCTCCTCCCGGGTGGCATTTGTCCCCCCCGGTGGCATTTGTCCCCCTGGGTGGCATTGGTCCCCCCCCGGGTGGCATTTGTCCCCCCAGGCTGATCCAGCCCCTCTGGCTGGGATCTGTCCCCGCTCCCGTCGGGAATTCGGGCGCTGCTGTGGCCATTAAAGGGACTTTTTTTCCATGGATGTTGTTTTTATTTTGGGGGTCGGGGGGGGGTCGGGGGTTCCCAGCTCCTTTTGGGGCTCCCCCCGCATCCCAATCCCTCTGGGATCCCCCCCAAATTCCAGCTCTTCCATCCCAGCCCCCTCCCCAATATCCCCACCCCTTTCCCAGCCCCTCCTCGGCAGTGCCGCGGTTTTCCCACGGATTCCGCTGGAATTTTGGGAATTCCCTGCTGGCAGAGGGAATTTTTTTTGTGTGTGTGTGTGACCCGCCCCCCCCCCCC